AAGGTATCTTTCTGGTGGAACATTTTCACTGAGCTGTGAACAGCTGGGACGGAAAGATTTGGCCAATTTTCTTTACAAATCACGCCCCCCCCCCCAACCAACTGACAAGTCAACTCCAACTCCTGGCGACCTCATGTGTGTCAGAGGGGAATTGTGCTCCATAAGCTTTTAAATGGATGATTTTTAAGAGGTAGATCACCAGGTCTTTCTTCCAAGGTGCCTCTGTGTGGATTCAAATCTCCAACCTTTTTGTTAGCAGCTGAGTGTGTTTACTGTTTGTACTACTCAGGGACTTCACACCAGGACTTGGGGAAGTCCAGGGTAGTGAGTCTCAACTCTGGCTGACCAGGTAATCCTCTGGGGAGCTTTTAAAGATTGAAGTACCCAGGCAGCATGCCAGACTAAGCTCATCATTTAATTCCAGTGAGCAGCTGAGGTGGTGGTGGGGGTGTGTGGGGGAAGGAAGTGTTCTAGTGGTTCCAAGGTGAGCCTTAGTGTACTATGAGAACTTAAAACAAAACAAAAGCATAACTTGGTCTCTTGACGTGGCTGGAAATGGGGAGGTCACACCACAGAAAACAAGAGGTGCTTCCATGGCTCAGTCCTGCCTGGTCCCCTGAGAGTTCTGCTCTGTGAACTGGATTCTGGGAGGCTAGGAGTGATCTGGCCCATATTGAAGAAGTGAACTCAGGTAAGGCTGGAAGGAAGGCCCAGAGCCTTGCCAGCCCAGAGGAGTCTGTGTTGTGCTCTCAGCTCTGTGTTCATGAGCATCCAGAGCAGGCAGTAAAGGGTCCAGAAGGGTCACAGGGAAGCTGAGAAACTGTTTGGACTAGAAGACTCTCGTCAAGGGAAACAGAAGCCTTTGCACAAACAGGACTGGTGGTGGGTGTTGCTCCTGGTCCCTGAAAGTTCAAGGGCCGGGACAGCATCTGAGAGCAGCCAGAAGAAGGCTCAACCTTACAGTTCTCAGGTTCTCTGCCATTCCAGGTCAAGTTTTCTCTCTGGACTCATGGCTTCCTATGAAAAGGACATGGAATCATCATTCCTAAGTCACGTCTGTCTAGGATTTTCCTCATTCTCTCTCCACTGCAATCTACTTCCATAGAGAGACCATCTTGGAAACCCAAAGAGGGGTTGCTATGAGTCGGGACCAACTCAAGGCAGTGAGTTTGGTTTTTTGTTTGTTTGTTTGTTTTTGTTGGCAAGGATATCAGATGGGGGCCAGGAATTTGCTCAGAATTAGCTCATGGATGTGACAGTGTCTCTTGTAATTGTAGTTTGGAAGGAAACAAGCAGGTTTTTCCTTTTTCTGGATCATTCTCCATTCTCTATCCTTAATCTTTTTGAGCTTTTTTCTCCCCCCTTATCTGGCCTTGCAGTCCCTGGGTGGTATAAATGACTAATGCACTTGGTTGCTAACTTGAAGACTGGCCGTTCCAGTGTACCCAGAGGGGCCTTGGAATAAAGGCCTGGTGTTCCTACTTCCAAAAAACCCAGCCAACGAAACCCTATGGAGCACAATTCCACTCTGACACACATGGAGTGGCCAGGAGTCAGAGTCGACTCCCCGGCAACTGGTTACCTGGCCCTTGAAATTCAAAGTAGAGAATGTGCATGTAATTGCTTAAGATCGTCAATCAGTAAATGACCTCCAGGCAATTTCACAATCTGTTCTATAAAGGAAAGCCACAGACAAGCACTTGCCTGATGCAGGAGGTATGACCCAATGACAAAAGTGTTTCCTACAGTTTATGAATGTAACTGTTTGTTTTTATCATGGCCCACTTTTTTATGAAGCACCTAGAAGTTCATCAGCCAAGGTAGGTCGGCTAACCTGCATAGTTCCCAATGCTGTGATGGAGTAGAAGGGCCTGGGCCTGGAATCAAGGGGCTCAGGTCTGGGCCTGGCTCCCAGATATTACTCAATACCCATGTTCATGGGAAATCTGTTAAGTCCCCATGAAAGAATTTGACCCTGATCCTCCAGAAATAGAATATATAGACAAAGAGATAGGAGCTCTGGTGGCGTAATATGTAAGGCATTTGACTGGTAACCAGAAGGCTGGCGGTTCAAATCCACCAGCCGCTCCTCAGAAGGAAGACTGTGCAATCTACTTTCATAGAGATAAAAAAAACTCCCTGCCATTAAGTTGGATCTGACTCATAGTGACCCCTCCTTGGGTTTCTGAGGTGGTATCACAACAGAAGTAGATCACCCAATCTTCCTTCTGAGGAGTGGCTGGTGGGTTTGAACTGCCAACCTGCTGGTAAGCAGTCAAATGCCTTAGGCACTATGCTACCAGAGCTCCTGCCTCGGAAACCCAAAGAGGGGTCAGTATGAGTTGGATCTGACTCTACAGCAGTGAGTTTTTTTTGAGACAAAGAGATAGAAACTCAAAGGTCAAGGAAGTTCTGGGGCTGGAAACCAGGGAACAAAGTAAGAATAATCCCAAGACATCAAGCTCAATTGGCATAACATACTACACAAAACATTTTTCCACATCCTACTTTGGTGAGTAGCAACTGGGATCTTAAAACCTTGCAGGCAGCAATCTAGATGCAACAATGGGTGTCTCCTCATCTAGAGCAAAGAAGAATGAAGTAAACCAAAAATTCATGGAAACAATTATTCCAAGTGACTGGTACAACGTGAGACCCTCAGCCTATACGACTATGAGACCAGAAGAACTAGATGGTGCCTGGCTACCAGTCAACCACTCAGAGGGGAGTCTGTGTGGGAGATCCTGGATAGAGTAGGAGAACAATGTGGAATGAAACTCAAAATTATTTGGGGGAAAATAAAAAAAGGGACCAGGTTTGCTGGTGTGATAGAGTCTGATGGAACCACTGAGACTGTGGCCCCTAGCTGCCATTCAGGTCTGGAATTAAACCTATTCCTGTGGCTTCCAGCCAAACAAAAGACAGACATGTGAACATTTACACAACCATGGGAGAATAGAAGGGCTGTGTATGCACAGGGAGACAGTTCATGGGGCAGAAATGCATGGAGGGAAGGACTCAGGGAAGAGATAACTATGGGGAGGAAGTGGGAGTGTTACATTATGGTAAACTGTAGTCAATGTCATGAGATGAAGTGTATGTGAACTGCTGTATGGAAAGTGAATTTGCTCTGTAAACTTTCACCAAAATCACACACACACACACACACACAGTCACACAAAAGAATAATCCCGAGCTGTACTGATCCTATGACCCCTAGAGACCTCCAAGTACTCACTGGGTCCTGCACCCTCTATGCTCATCCTTTAATCCAGAAAGTGAATCTGAATCAGCCCCCTTCCTTCAGGTGCTCTGAGAATCTCCTCTCCACTATAATACTGCCCACCACCCACCAAGAACCTACTTGCTCAGACTCTGGGCCTTTGGCTATCAGGGTGACCTTCTGATCCTCCTCTTTCGAACAACATGTCTATCCAGGAATCCCAGCTGGGACAGGAACAACCAGGAAGAATGTCGCTTAGAATGATTTAGGGATCTTTCTAACCAATTAAGGCTTGAAGCAAATTCAGTAGCAGTGTGGGTCTGTGCCATTCAGAGAACGTGTTGGTAATCCAGTGAAATAAGTGTACACCATACTAACCAATCAAGTAAAATCCAAACTCTTATCCAGTAATATGTGATTACAGTAAAGTTTAAATCAGGTGAACAAAATACATAATTTATGCCTAAACTCAAAATAATAAGCTCAAAACTACCTAGTTGGATTTGTTTTTGAGGCTGGCACTTTGAATTTGTGAGTATGTGCATATGAACACTTATGTGTACATGTATGTGTACATATGTGTGCATGCACCTTCAACAGAAATGCTACGGTTCAGTAAAAAATTAAGATTTGGTTTAGGCGGAGTTCAGGGTCTATCAGATTAGTGTGCTTATTCTTGCCTTTGGTCTAAAGTTCAGTTTGGCATAAACTCTGAAAGTCAGGGATCAAGTTTAACTATCTCCAGACTCCTGTAGAATGCGAGGCACTTAGTAGGTGCTCAATAAATATTAACTGATTAAGTCAATGACAATATAATATAGCCAAGGAGCTATAAGAAGCAGGCCTACATTGATTAGGGCTTTTAATTGTAAGTTGGCATCAGTTTAGAGTCCTGTTCAGAAGCTAAGAGGTACTAGCACCACAATACCAAAAACAAAAACAAAAACCCCAAACTCACTGCCATCAAGTCAGATGCAATTCATAAACTCATAGCAACCCCTCCTTGGGTTACCCAGGCAGCATCACTACAGAAGTAGATTGCCCAGTTTTCCTTCTGAGGAGTGGCTGATGGGTTTGAACCGTCAGCTTTCTGGTTAGCAGTCAAATGCTGTAGGCACTACGCCACCAGAGCTCCTAGCACCTCAATGTTGTTGCTGTTGTTATGTGCTGTCAAGTCATGTCTGACTCGTAGTGACCCCTCCTTGGGTTTTTGAGGCAATATCACTATGGAGGTAGATTGCCCAACCTTCCTTCTGAGGAGTGGCTGGTGGGTTTGAACTGTCAGTCTTCTGGTTAGCAGTCAAGTGCCTTAGGCACTATGCTACCAGAGCTCCTAGCACCTCAATAACACCTACTAATTGTTGAGGGCTAATTACACATCCTGTACTCTGCTAAGCAATTTATACAGTTGATTTCCTTTTACTCTTACCAATAATGGTAAATCTTTACAGAAGTGGATTGCCGAGTGGGGTGGCTGGTGGGTTTGAACCGCCAACCTTCTGGTTATCAGTCAAATGCCTTAGGCACTACACAACCAGAGCTCCTTTATAAGTTGGTACCATGCCCATTTTACAGATCAGAAATGGAGGCTCAAAGAGACCAAGGGTCCTAACTATGATCACTGAGCCATGAGATAGCAGTAGAAACAATTTTATATCAGGTATGTCTGACTCCTAAATCCAAGCTCCTAATCCTCATTCCACACTGACTCCCCTTTTACCCCAAGAAACCCTCTTCCAGACCGTTCCCTATGGAATTTAGGAAACATCAGCCATGCTCACAGCACTCTGCTACTTGATTTTTTGGATCGCAGATGTCTTGGAAAGCCTTTTCTGGTGCCACTTGTCTTTTGTTTGTTCTTCTTGAAAACCTTGTTCACCCAGTTTGAGTCTTCAGCAGGGCTGTCCCTGGAAAAAGAGATAAAATGTGGAGGTTTGTTAACAGCCTGTCCTGTGCAGTGTTGTCACTAGGGATTCAGACTGTACCAGCTGACACTGTCAGAGGGGGTGACATCAAAACAACTGCCTAGAAAATTCTTGTGCAGTGTTTCAGGAGACATTCACTATTTTTTAAAATAAAAGTATCCCTGTAGTTAGTTATAACAACAAAAATACTATTCACAAGCTCACCTTACATGTAGCAATATACCTATAAGGGTCAAGCTCTATGTTAATTTATGTTTTGAACCTTCTACTGTTACTTTTTGAACCTTCTACTGATTACAATGATACTTTGAAACATGTAGCTTCATCTGCACATACTGCAAGCTCGTGCTGGTGTTTTCATAGTCCCTAATTTTGTCAAAGTTTCTGGTGTTTTAGCTACAACATTGTGGTAAGTAGTATTTGTGAACTTATATCAATAACTTTTTAGAGAATGATGTAAAGGAAAAAGAAGAAAAAAAATTAAAAGAGGCACCTGCTCACTTACTAACAATGTTGTAACTAATAAGTCTGTGATTCAATGTAAAAAGATTTTACAAGACAGTTTTGTTGTTAGTGTTCATATAATCTAAGAAATACTACATTTAAGCAATACAACTGTATTCATCACATATTTTTCTATGATTAAAATTGATAATACACATTACTAAGGATTCTGTATGGTGTGGTATATGGAGTCCATAGGGGGTGGTGTGACACCATGAATTACTCAACTGGGTGACACCAACTTTAGTGACACCACTGGTCTTGTGTCCTATAACATCAGGGCCTTGCTTCAGCTCAGAAGTGTCATGGTACTCAACCCAGGCTGAGCATCAGTGTTCCCTAGGGAACTTTTTCTTGTAATCAGTGAATATTTATCTAAGCAATATCATGCCAACTAACTTACCAAAACTCAATCAAACTTTTATACAGTAACAGATAAATGCAATAAAGTTTAAATTATATGAACAAAAGGCATACTTTATGCCTAAATGCAACACTGTTAAATTTATATAAACCCTTTCAAAAAGTTTTATAGTCAAATTTATACTTAATGTGAGGAGCAGGTTTATTTTAATATATTGGATATGATGTGGAGTGGGAACACTGAAAGTCAGAGTGTCTCAGGCCTTACTCTCCCAATATCTGCGACTAAGGCCTCAGAGAAACCCAGCCACTGCCAGAAGGCAGAAAGGACAGGATTGTGGGAGAAATAACCCCAAGTTACTTCTCATCTAACCGTCTGGTCTCCTGCTGGTGCCTTCTATCAGCTAACCCATCTGACAGCCAGGCAGCAAGGGATCCTGGGTTACTTGGTCCACTGAAAAAAAAAAAAAACAAACTCTTTGCTGTCAAGTTGATTCAAATCATAGCGACCCCTCTTTGGGTTTCCAAGGTGGTATCTCTGTGGAAATAGATTGCCCAAATCTCCCTACTGAGGAGTGGCTGGTGGGTTTCAATCGCCAGCCTTCTGATTAGCAGTCAAATGTCTTAGGCACTATGCCACCAGAGCTCCCACTTGGTCCACAGGGAACTTGAAAAAATACAGATCTCCAGGCTCCTTCACAATTAAAGATAGTAATGGATTATATTATTATATTATAGGGAGCTCTGGTGGCGTAGTGCCTAAGGCATTTAACTGCTAACCAGAAGACTGGAGGTTGAAACCCACCAGCCTCTCCTAAGAAGGAAGATTGGGCAATCTGCTTCCATAGTGATACTGCTTTGGAAACCCAAGGAGGGGTCACTATGAGTCTAATTGACTCACGGCAGTGCGTTTGGTTTTTGAATAGATTATATGTTACAGACTCCAGACAGTTGATGTGCATTATAAAAAAGATTTTCTGAGGCTAATCTCTAACATAGGAATACTAGATCTCTTGGCATAGTGGGTAAGGTATTTGGGTTTGAATACCTCTGCAGAAGGAAGATGGGGCAATCTACTTCTGTGAAGATTTACAGCCTCAGAAACCCAATGAGGATCGCTATGAGTCAGAATCGACTCAATGGTAGTGAGTTTGGTTTGGTATTTTTTGTATCATGCTGGAAGAAGCCCTGGTGGCACAAGTGGTTAAGCACTCAGCTGCTAAGTGAAGACCAACAGTTTATACCCACCAGCCTTTCTATGGGAGAAAAATATGGCAGCCTGCTTTCATAAATATTACAGCCTCAGAAACCCTATTGGTCAGTTCTACTCTGTCCTATAGGATCACTCTGAGTTGTAATCGACTTTATGGCAATGTTTATTTAGTTATTTCTCATGCATTATTTTTACCAAAATAATTTGAATTAAGGGAAGCCTTTGATAGCACCAGGTCTCTGGGTTCCACAAACAGTTAAGCACTCAACTACTAACTGAAAGGTTGGTGGTTCAAACCCAACTAGGGGTGCCTTGGAAGAAAAGCTTGGTAATATGTTTCTGAAAAGTTACAGCCTTGAAAACTCTATGGAGTGCTGTTTGACTCTGCATGAACACATCACCACGAGTCAGAATCAACTCAGCAGCAGCTGTTTTTTTTTTTTTTTTAGCACCCCTCAATTCATACTTAGAAGTTACCTAAGGCTAGGATGTGGAATGCCTGCTAATTCTCTTGAACTAAGATTCAAATATGAGGGAGGAACAAAGAGAGGCAGCACATTCCCTAGTGTTCAGAGGAGAGTGGAATAGAATGACACCATCAACATAAGCTCATTTGCCACACATTCGCCTCACTGAAGAAGGAGAGAGGAGGGGTGCTGGTGGTCTGTGAAATGTAAAGAGGTGGACTATAACCACACAAACTAGAGTATGGTACCATTGTTCCCAAGGGCAGCAAAAGAGATGGAAAATCCCATTAGCTGGACCATCCCCCCAACTCTGAATCCTTGCTCTTACCTTTGTCCAAAGGAAAGAACCATTTCCCAGTGAAGAAGAAACTTACATCATATTAGGCTCGTAGATGGTTTCCTTCACATTAAGCAGAGGCATGGCACTTTTTGGATTTGAAACGGCAAGGGGGGCTACAGCCAAAGTGAAAGTATAAGAGAGATGAGTTAGAATGGGGTTGGGGAGGAATACTTACTCCTTGAAAGAAGAGTGTTTAACTACAGTAAATAACTCTTTTGTTCTCAAATTCTCATATTATGGACTAGAATCAGATTGTTGGATTTAATTGAGACCCTGGGCAGCAGCATCTATGAGAGGACTAGTAATGATGCTTGATATAATATTTATAAACAATTCCCTCACAGAAAATAGTCATGTTAGAGACAGTGTTCAGGAAAACAGGAGCCTGAATCTTCTATCACCTGCATTAAATAATGAGTCTCCCCCATTGGAATAGAGAATATTAATAGCTTTATGACTATTGTTCTTAAGTCATATCTTTGCATGTTTTCAATGAGTATGGGGATATGTTATACAAGAATATTAATATGTGTTTATGTAATGTATGTATTTAAGGAGCTCTGGTACTGTAGTGGTTAAGGCATTTGGCAGCTAACCAAAAGGTCAGTGGCTTGAACCCACCAGCTGCTCCATGGAAGAAAGATGAGGCAGTCTGCTTCCATAAAGATTTATAGCCTTGGAAACCCAATGGGGGTTGCTGAGTTGGAACTGACTTGATGGCATGGATGAATGTATGTATTTATGTAAATAAGTATCATCTAGAATATATTTGGATTCTCCTACCTGAAGTTCCTTTCTTTGGGGGCCTGTTGGATGGCCCTACCTCTCCCAAATTGATTTTCAGTGAGGCTTGTTCTTTTGTTTATGGATTTTCCTAGGACTTTTTGCCCTTCCTCCCTTACCACCATGGCCACCATTAAATGACCAATGAGAACAAACCCTGGGGAGCCTCTGCTCCACCGAAGTCCCATGGATGTTCTGAAATGTTGCTGGTGAGGCTCAGCTGTAGGCTATAACAGGGTTTTTCAACCTCAGCACTACTGACATTCCAAAAAAACCAAACTCACTGCCATGGAGTCAGGTCCAACTCATGGCGACTCCTCCTTGGGTTTCTGAGGCAACATCACTATGGAAGTGGATTGCTCAAGATTCTTTCCGAGGAGTGGCTGGTGGGCTTGAACTGCCAGTCTTCTGGTTAGTAGTCAAATGCCTTAGGCACTACGCCATCACAGCTTCTACTACTGATGTTAAGGGCTAGCTAATCTTTGGTTGTATTGCTGTTCTGTGTGTTGTAGGATGTTTAGTAGCATCTCTACCCACTAGAGATTCAGATTCAGTGGCTCTGTGATGGGACTTGAGGATTGTCATTTTTAACAAATTCCCAGGTGATGCTGTTGCTGCTACCTACTAGATGCCAGTAGCACACAGTTGCACTCTACTCTGATAGTTGTGACAACCAGAAATGTCTCCAGACATTGCCAATTATCTCCTGGGGTGAAAATTTGCACCCATTTGAGAACCACTGGGCTATATGTACCCTCCATCCACCCCGTAACACAAGTGAAGAGATACATGAATGAGGGACATCAATTCAGGGTCCAGGATTGCTCTGGCACCTGAAAATAGTGAGTAATATAAAATACATGCATTGCATTTAACAAGAAATAAAAGACATGTGAACCACTTGGGCCAATTTTCTCATTCTTAATGTCCCAATGGAGCACTGGTGGCACAGTAGTTAAGGCATCTGGCTGCTAACCCAAAGGCCAGTGGTTTGAATCCACCAGCCTCTCTTTGGGAGAAAGATGAGGGAGTCTACTTCTGTAAAGATCGACAGCCTTGGAAACCCTATGAGGTAGTTCTACTCTGTCTTATAGGGTCACCATGAGTCAGAAGCAACTTGATGGTAGTAGGTTTTGTTTTGTTTTTGAAATGTCCTTATATTTTTGTCTCACTGTGATGAAAAGAATCATAGGTAGATCTATTCCAGAGAAGAGAGTCACTCCTGAGTTGGAGCAGATCTCTAAACAGGGAAACCTTGCTAATCTGTGTTGCTGTTCTCTCCACCTAAGGGAGCTTGGCTGATGGACCATGGTACTCTCTTCAACCTGGCTTTAGTCTGCCATTTGCATACCTTTCCCTCTGCCCTTGTTGAGACCACTCACAAAGGTCAAACAGGAATCCTCTTCATCCAGAATATACCTTGCACTTTCCTACTCTACAACTCAGTCTCTCAAGATAACAAAATCTGAAGTGCTCTTTCTACTCTGTCCCATTCAGTTTTACAAATCAGAACTGCCCAAATCCTGCCCATTTAAATTCTCCTGTCACCTCCTCCAAGAAGCCTTCCTTGTTCCCCCAGAGAGAAGGGATCTTCTTCTCCTCTACAAATACTCCACAACACTGTTTTGTTAATATGTAGTCCTTATTAATTCTTCTTGTATTTTTGAGATTAGCAACCATGTCCTAAGGAGCTCTGATGGCATAGTGCTAAGATATTTGACTGCTGACCAGAAGGTTGGTGGTTCATATCCACCAGCCACTCTGTGGAAGGAAGACAGGGCAATCTACTTCCATTTTCTAATCCATAATGGACTAATGCTTCTGTGAAGTACAATACAAATGAATTAGTTAAAAAGTCAATAAATAAATAAAGCTCTTGGATGTTATGGCAATATCTTATTACTATACTGTATCTTTACAAAAATTATGCACAGGTTCTGTGTTTGTCTGGCAAGCCACCCTCCACCCCACCAGAGTACTTTCATAAACTCACCAGCCAATTGTTTTTTATATGCTGCTGTAAAAAATTAGTGTAGTGCACTTATGAAAATACCTTGTTGGGGAAGGGTGGGTCGGCAAAGAAACATAGAACCCATGTGTCATTTGGGTAAAAACATGGTAAATATTTTCTAAATACTTCTTACTACATGCTCCCTTCTGGTCATGAACTAGTAACAACCAGTTCAGGGACTGGCATCAGTCCATGGACCACTATTTGAGTAGCCTGGCCCTAGCACAGTGGCTTTCACAAGGAGGCATTTAATAAAACTTTACTAGAGCAGCTGTTCTCAAACATAAGTGTACAGAAGAAGTCCTTGGAGGACTTGTAAGAAAGACAAACTTCTGGGCCCCATCCTGAGTTTCTGATTCAGCAGATCTGCAGTGGGGCCCAAGAATTTTCATTTCTAACAAGTTCCCACACATTGCTCTTGTGGCTGGTTAGGGGAGTACACTTTGAGAATGACTGGACTAAAGGAATGAGCACGTGTCAGGTATACTGCCTCTTGGTGGTGACCTGTCCTCATAACAAGCAGAGTAGCTAAAGCAAACTTTGCTAACCTCACAAATCCACTCCTCTGAAGCAATGGTTATCAGCCACGGTATTGTTACCCACAAGAGAAATCCATGAGAAGCCACAAGGGTCCATACCTTGGGGCTTTCCTGGGTCCACTTGCTCTATAGGTGACTGTGCAGGTGATGCTGAAGGAGAGCATTGGGGAGATATTTGAAGGGCTTCCAGAGCTGAAGGCTGCAGGGATGGGCTGGGTGATGTGGATGACTGGGAGGATGGAGCTCTGGCTGGTGACCCAGATGGTTGTACCTGCTGCTCTGGTAACACAGGTGACGACAGTTCAGGTGTTGCAATGGGTAGTGATGAGTTAGATGTTAAGCTAGGTGGTAATTGCGTAGCTGGGGATGATACAGGTGGTACAGGTGATACAGATGACAAATCAGTTGGAGAATGTGAAGGTGATGAGGCTGGCGGCAATGCAGGTGGCTGCTCGGCTGAAGAGACAGGTGGTGGAACTGATGACTCCACAGGCCACTCATGTGTGGAGTCAGGTGTTTGCACAGGTGGGGACATGAGTGGGCTATGGTCTTCCTTCCTATCTCCTTTGGGAGTCCACTGTGTGTGAAGTTCCATGGATTCTTCCAGACTGGCCTGCTCTGTCTGGAGCCATGGTTGGCTATATTCAGAGCACTCACTGCCAAGGGCAAGTTCTATCTGGTGGTATACTTCCACCCGGGGGAAAATCACTCTCTTGGAGGGAGAATTAATGTAAGCAGCATCTAGGAAAGACAACAGCATGGGGCCATAAATGGATTACTAATTCCTGGTATCAGCATGGCATTTGCAAAAAAAAAAAAAAAAAAAAAAGCTTTTCCAGATTATTTTCAAAAGCAGGATTAGTGTTTTTCAACTTCAATTTATACAAGAATGTAGTTGAATTTATATTGAGGAATTGATTGTACTAACTCACCCATTCAATGGATAATTACCAAGCATCTATACGGAGAGGCATTGTACCAGGGAGGTGAAGGGGAACAAAAGCACAAGACCATTCTGACCTCTTGAAGCTTACAGTCTAGTGTAGGGGAGGTAGGCAATTTTTCTGTAAACCTACAACTGTTCTAAAAATAAAATTTATTGAAGATCTTGGGGAAATGGGCAAAAGAATTGAACAGAAACTTCATCACAGATGATGTATGAATGGCAAATAAGCAAATGAAAAAATGCTCAACATCATTAGTCATTGTTGTTGTTGTTGTTTGCCATTGAGTCGGCCCCGACTCATAGTGCCCCCTACTTGGGTTTCCGAGGCAGTATCACTACGGAAGTAGGAATGCCCCACCTTCCTTCCGAGGAGTGGCTGGTGGGTTTGAACCGCCAGCCTTCTGGTTAGCAGTCAAGTGCCTTAGCCACTATGCTACCAGAGCTCCCTCATTAGTCATTAGCAAAATGCAAATTAAAATCACAATAGCATTCCACCACACACCCATTAGAATGGCTAAAATTAAAAAGGCTCATCATACCAAGTGTTGGTGAGAATGTAGAGCAGCTACATCACACATCCAGTTGCTGATGGGAGTGTAAAATGGGACAACCACTTTGGAAAACAATTTTGTGGTTTCTTTAAAAGTTAAACAAACAGACATCTACCGTACAAACCAGTCATTCTACTCTGAGGTATTTACCCAACAGAAATGAAAGCATGTTGTTGTTGTTGTTAAGTGCCGTCGAGTCGTTTCTGACTCATAGCGACCCCATGCACAGCAGAATGAAACACTGCCCGATCCCGCGCCAGCCCCACAATCCATGCTATACTCGAGCACATCATCGCAGCCACTGTATCAATCCATCTCCCTGAAGGCCTCCCCCTCTTTCGTCGACCCTCCACCCTAC